CATCCCACGTGTGCAGAAGCTGAGGGTTTCGTCAGGTGGGGCAGCCTCTGTGCTCCCTCCTCCCAACGTGGCTTCGATTGCCGCTGGGATCTCATCCCTCTTCCTGTCTTCCTGGAAGACAGAATCAGGGAAGGAAAAGCGAAGGAGGGGCAGGAGAGTCTAATAGACTTTGGCTTCCGTAGAAATCAGACTACATAAAGGGAAGGCTGGCAAGGAGAACCTGGTCAGAATCTCATCCCACGGTCATTATCTTTGAGTATTTTGAGTCTAGTATTTTGAGTCTAAAGTAATTGAAACAGGCTCTTTCCTCTCCTGAACGGACCCAGGGACCATGGAGAGCCTCGGAGGGACAGGGAGAGAACCCAACTCTCTAAACCGATTCCTTAAGCACCTGAGGGGTATCTGGGGTGACGCCCACGAGGGAGGGAATGTTTGTGTTTTATTTACTCTCTAATCACTGTTCCCTGATAAGATGTGTGCTCCAGAAATGGTTGTTGGAGGATAAAAGGATGAATGATTCCACACCTGGCCCACCCGTTCAGTGCGGCGGGGCCACCTTCAGAGCCTGAGGTTGGAAGAGCAATTTCCCTGCTTCTTCCGTGAGAGGGACAGGAAGAGCCCCAACAGGTGTCGCAAGTGGTTTCTGGTGTGAAGCGAATTTGTTCCACAATCATTTGAATAGAAACCCTGGGAAGGAAGCCTTGGAAAGTCCAAAAGCGATTTCCCATTTGGGGCGGGGGCGCGGGGAGGATGTGGGATATCCCTTTTGAAATGGTTATTTGTGACCATTTGCAAGCTTTTCTTTGTGTTGTGATTTATGGTGCAAGAAACATGCTGTAAAAAACACCTGTGCCCTCTCTGAGGCTCGAACTCAGGACCTTCAGATTATGAGACTGACGCGCTGCCTACTGCGCTAAGAGGGCAACTTGGAGCAGCTTACTGTATTGCAAATACACTAGGAAAGATTACCTTCCAAGCACCGTGGTGGATCGCATCCCAGCTGTTAAACAGCACAATCCATCCTGGTTGACAATGATTCCTAATGAGCCAGTGTCGTTTCCCTTTCATTTTCCTCTGGCCATTTTCAGAAAAAAATTTTCTTTAGTTTTCAGACCTTTGATTGAGACACGCCTGGGTGCGGATTTCTTTGGGTTTCTCCTGCTTGTGTTCGGCTGGGTTTACATGTTCTGCACTTTCCTGCTCCAGGACTGTGTCGAATTCAAGGCCAAGTTGCAGGACACGTGGGGAAAATACCAACTTAGTAAACCTCACCCTTGTGGGGTCACAGCTCCTCGTGAGAAACAGGTGAATTCTGAATTGGAAGATCTGTAGGTTCTGGACTTAGGGTTAACATGAGAACCGAGGCTGGGGCAGTAAAAACTGGAGAATGTGGGCATCGATCCCACTACCTCTCGCATGCTAAGCGAGCGCTCTACCATTTGAGCTAATTCCCCACCTGCTTCTTGACTCCTCCAAAGGTCAAAATTCGAAAAATGGCCAGATGACCGCTATGTTCAAAACAGTGCACAGCTGGTCCATGATTCTCTCTCATTGATGTTTCTCGCTCTCCCTCTCCCTTCCTCTCTGACATCAATAAAAATATATTTTTAAAAACGAGGCCAATCCTCATTCAGCCTCTGGAGCTGAGAGGGGGCCCACCTCCTTCAAAGCCAAGGCAGGGTGCAGAAGGGTCTGTGAACAGAACCCTGGTCCTGCTGGGAGGAGGAGTGTGGGCGCGATGTGGGTGCCCGGGGGTGACAGAGGCCAGCCGTACTAGCTGCTACACCCGGCTCCATCCCCATTTTTAAAATAAGAGGAAATAAGTACTTTTAAGCATTTTGAAAGCTGAGAGCTCTGTTCCTTACATTAACCAGCATTAGACCGTAGCCAGAGTTCCAGATCTAACCGTCTTAGAACTGATTAGACCTACAGCTTGTATTCAGTACTTGTGCTCAGGACATGGCATTGCTTGTCCATGCTTATACATTGGCATATAAATCAGAACTGTACAAGCATGGCTATTAATAAAGCCACACATCACAGGGCCTTATGACTACATGGTAAAATGACACCACATTTCTGAATCTGGACTCAGGGGCTAACGTGCATCGCAGGGCAGAGACCTGAAGCTCCGCCCCAAACCACCGCCTCCATCTGCCTCGCGGAGAGGACAGGAGTGGTATTATTTATTCTGAAAATTGGTAATTTATGCTGCCTCAATTTGTCTATCAAATATATACCGTAACTCTCATTCGCCCCCACTTACTTTTGCAGCCTCTTTAATAACCATCGATTTTTAATGTTTCTTCATCACAATCTGTTCACCTCCAGCATAACCCTAGTTAGCACTGTCTGCCTTACTGTTTGCTCTCAATGCTTGTCATTGTCCCCATAGGAATTTGATCTGGAAAGAGCGAGCAGGCTTAGAGAGACCCATACTAAAGTCTTGACTCACCAGGTATGTGAATTTGGATGAATCACTTTTGAGTCACCCCGTTACCTTATCTGCAAAATGGGGTGATGCTCACTTGGCAGGTCTGTTGTGAGATCACAGGACTCAGTGTCGGGCACGTCCTGTCGGTAGAGCGTGGCCACCATTGACAGATCTACCCACCATAGAACTGATATGACCTATAGCTGGTACTACCCACCATAGAACTGATATGACCTATAGCTGGTACTCAGTACTTGCATTCAGTACATGGCAGTCTTCTAAAGCGTCGCCTCAGTAACTCAAAGGGTATTTATCTATTCACCCAGCAAAATGTGAAACCCTGAGGATGCAAAGGTAAAGCTTACTCCTCATTCCTCAGGGAACTAACATCTAGTCAGAGAGACAAATCTAAACTCATGGCTACGCTAAAACAGGAATAAAGGAAACGCGCTGGGGACGAACAGATCGATCCACGTGGCAGGGCCGTGAGGGACGCTCTCCAGACCTGGCACTGGAGCTTCATCTCGCCGCGGAGAACAGTCCGACCGACGCTGTGGAGAAGGAAACTGGCAGATTTCAGGAAAAGCAGTTCCAGGAGGTGGCACGGTGTGAACTGGCGTGGAGGGGACTGAGGGGGCAGAACGGGCCGGAGGGGCTCGTCCGGAGCCTCGGGTACACTGGCAGTGTTGTTTTTCTCTAGAGATGGTGGTTCCTTTCTGATCCTGCCAGCAGTACTTTTTTCGCATGAATGACATGAATCACAATAAAAATATTAAAACATTTTGAAAGATAGGTTGGCATCAACTTATAAAGATCTTTATTTATCAAGATAAGGAATTTATCCTGAAGGTAAGAACAAGGCAAAGTGGTTTTTAAGGAGAACATTCTCAGCTCTGTGTTCTAGGAAGAGGGTTTGGTCGCATGGTGGAGACCGCAGTGGGGAGCCACTCAGAGCCCCTGGCCTGGCAGGGGTGGCCCAGGCCTGGCTGGCGCACGGTGTGTGGAGGGCTCAGACGGGAGCAGAGGTCTGGCTGTTGGGGGGGGGGGTGGGGGGTGGGAACAGGCTTTGAAAGTGATGAGCAAGGGGAATTTAGGAGACTGTTTGCACTTAGGAGTCAGGACATTCCATTAAACTTCACTGAATAGTTAAAGTGGTGCCGTGTCCTGGAGGAGAGCTTCAGGTTCCACCCGTGTCCTGTGTAGCCCTGATCCTTCCAGGACTTCTGTTGGGTCGACGGACTATCCCTGCGACTGTCCAGTAAGTTCACTCTTTTGTTGTCATTTAAGTGAGTTTGGATGAGATTGTGTTTCCTAAAACACAGCCCTGAGTTATACAACAGTGAAAAGATTACACTCACAGAATTACCAGAGGGCAGAGAATTTATATCAAAACTCAGGCCACACAGGTGGAGAAAGAGCTTCTCGCTGTTAGGACACGCCTTGCAGGACACAGGAAACACTGAGATGATGGGGTGGGCCTTGGTCAGGTTCAAGGTGAGAGGAGGTTTTCATTCCAAGTCTTCGAGACCCAGAGCAGACTCATCACTCCCCAGCCCCGACTGTGTCTTCTCTCTGGTGAAAACCCAGGTGCCTGGAATCCTAATCCTCATCGGAACAACGGCCAGGAGCAGGCCAACTCTTTGTCTTCCACAGCAATTAAACAAGAGTGTGGAGCTGGGAAGTCTCGAGGTGCAGGCTAGACAGGTTTCCACGGTTAGCCCGCTCGCACGGAGGGTAGGCTAGCTGACGGCTACAGGGCAAGGACTGGCCACGGGTGTTTGCATGGGTTTCACCTGAATTGGCCGCTGCACAACACACTGAAACCAACAGTGGTGGGCGCTGACGAGGCAGAGAATTCCTGAGGGAAGAAATGATGATGTTGAAGATGACAATGATGGCAACACTTGATGTTTTCAAAGAAATTACCAGTTTTTAAACAGGTTTAACACATGAGTGTGGGGTCTAGGGACCTGTCATCCCATTTCTCTACCCTACCTACCCCTCGCCCTCCTACAATCTATCCTATAAATTCTCCTATCCCGGCCATGGTTCTTACTGAATGTACAGGAGAAATGGAGGCTATTTTTCTATAAAGGCAAAATTCCAACATAGAGTAGGAGCAGCTGCATCAAGCAAATGAAACGTCGCTGCACCAAATCCACACCCAGAAACTAACAGTACTCGGGGGGAGAGCTGGAGCCCTGGGTGTGACTGTTCTGGACTCAGGACAAGCCCAAGCGCTCACAAAGCCCCCCAGACACTCACCAGACAAGAAAAACAGCGTGGTGCTGACGGAGAGGATGAAAGAGGGGTAGAGAAAGGTGACTTTCGCTTCCTTGAATATGTCAGTTACTTTCCAAACATACAGAGAGTGCAGCAGCAACGCAAGGAGCACACAGACACCTGCTCCTCAGGAAAGGGGCAGAGAGCAGCCAGGTTAGTTCAGTGCGTGGCCTTCAGGCGAAGTCCCAAGACCCAAAGCTGTCATCTCAGCACCTCTGCCCTGTTTCTTTATTGTCATGGGACTGTCTGCTGCCTTAGCGGTGCTTGGGCAGATTCTAAGGAGCTGTGTGAGCCCCTGGAACGTGACCCCAGCCCAGAACAAGGACCACTGAGGGAACCCACTTCCTCCATCTCTCACCTACGATGAAGCAGGTGATGGTGAAGACAAAGTGCTGTTTCCGGGAATCAGGAAGGGCATGAGGGAAGGCCAGGAGTGTGATGTTCAGGAAGAAGGAGAGAAGAAGGGCGCTGATCATGAAAATTCGACCAAATGTGAAGCAGTCTGAATTAGGGAGGGAGAGGGGAGAAAGGCCAGCAGCTCCCTCTAGGGTCCCCTCCTTCCTGGGGCTGAAGCCCCAGAATACGAAGGAAGCAGTGCAGGGACTTTGAGGAAGGAACCGGTGGCAGCGGAGGGACAGTGAGCTGCCGGAAGGTCCAGGACAGCGATTCTGGCTGGGCTGGTCGCCCCAGAGGCCTAACCTCCTGGCCCATCGGAAATGAGCCGTTACTGAGAGGAGGAGAACCGCTCCGTCCATGTGACCTGGGCAGAGCAAGAGGCTGGCAAGTCCTGGAAGGGACAGGTGGGAGCAGGGCCCTCCCTTCAAGGCCGGCACTTACATGACTTGGATGGAGGAACCCAGCACCTGATCTCCTGGCTGCAGATGGCAAACAGGGCGCTGAACAGGACCTGGGGGCTGTCGGGGACGTCCACCTTCGCCCAGGTGGACAGGCTGAAGGCCCACCACAGGAGGGCCGACCCGGTGACCGTGCAGGTGAGGACCAGAATGCGGTGTGGCCTAGTGATCCCACATGTCATACAGAAGGGAGCTGACTAGAAAAAGGGGGGGGGGGGCAGTATGAGTTTGTTTCCCTTTGGGATTTCTCCCCAGACAAGCCCAGTCCTCTGGTCCTTTCTCATACTCGGCTCCCAGGCCCCCCTCCTCCTCATCCCCTAACCAGATCCTCTCCAGGCCACCGGCTGACCCGTCCCTCGCCAGCGGGATGGAAAGCTCCCTCTTTGGTCTCTGCATCTTGTCTGAAACCCCTCGCACACACTCCTCCACAGCCTGCACTGCTGCTGTGCTTCCCACAGGCCCTATCCCACCACCTAGACTTGCTGTGCCTTCAGAGTCCGACTCGTCATCTCCGTTTGGCACAGTCCTTACATGTAGGAGGAGCCTGTAGCTCTTAACAGAAAAGTGGGGGGGACCACAGCAGATTCCAAGCACATCCCTTGGTGATGTCAAGAGAAGTAAGTTTGGCTGCAGCCTCCGCCTGCCTCCTCCTCGTCATTCCCCTCAAATCACAGGCGTGCTTTCCTCCTGCTGGTCCTCCCCCAGCGAACCTTTTGTCTCAGTTCCTTTTCGACCCTCTCTGCCTCAGCTTCCATCCTTTGATGCCCTGTGTTCCATAGCAGCGCCTTTTTACGGGGAGGCCCATCCTGGCCTTCTCCTCAACAGTGGAACGCGGTGGCCCTTCCTGTTCCATGGGTTCCGTTGGCAGGAACGTTTAGTGACATCATAAGTGTGTGACCTGCCTCCCAACAAAAATGTCAGCTCCCACCCGGTGGCCGTTTTTTAAAGAATGTGTCACGTCCCACGCCCTCCGCGGAGCGATGCCCCATGTTCCTCGGCACATGTGCGCTTCCCACATCATGGCTTGTGTCCTTAGCTCTAGCTCCTAATACCAAATGGGCACCTGCACCCTATTCCTGTACCAGACTGCAGGGCATGTGAGAGAGAATACAGGCTACTCAAGGGGATAACTGGGAAGGTGTAAGTAGAAACAGGTTTTATGTGAAGGGCAGAGTGGGTCATACTTTGTCTTTCACATCCTTGAGCAGAAGGTGCCAAGACATGTGATGCCTTCTGACCCAGCCTTCTTGTCTCGCACATGGGTGACTGAGGGTGAACACTTGGCAGGTTTGTTGATGAAAGAATTAACAAATAAATGAATAACAATAGAGACCAAGAAGCAGAGGGCTGCTAAGAACCTCTGTTTAGATGTTTCTTAAATGTAGGCTGTGGGAAGGCAAGGATTAACTTTGTCTATTCTACTCACCTATGAATTCTAAGCACCTGCAACTTTACTGGCACAAGGCAAGCGTTGCATAAATATTTGTGGAATGAATGAATGAATGAATGATCCAGGAACGGTCAGTTTCCCTCCACTGGCAATTTGTGTTGGGTATATCCTTTCCCCTCGTATTCCCAGGACTGGCTAGGACGCTGGAGTGCAACAGCAGTGCATCGCCAGCCGAGCACTAGAGGGTCATGTGTTGGTCAGTTGTGCTACTGAACGAGGACAGCGGGGCAGTGGCCTTGGCTGGGGAGACAAGGAATATTCGTGGCAGGAAATGAGAAATAACTCAACAAGGTAGAGAGAGCTTTTGACAATCCTGTGCACACAGACCCAGCCAGGAGGCGCAGGGAGTCGACCTTTGAAGGCAATATGTTTACATCTCTAGGTTGGTGGGAGCCTGAACTTTGAACTGACCCAGGAAAACAAAGCAAATGGACAAACTGATTTCTGCTGATGTCAAAAACAGAACAGATGGAAACTAAACATATTTACAGGCAAACGCTCCATTGTCAACATTGGTCCCTACTCTCTTACTTACAGCCTCTCAATCCACACATTAAAAACAATCACTTACTCCACATCAACTTTAAGTTGCCCCTTGAAATTATACAACTGTGGGTTTTTTGTTTGTTTTGTTTAAAATGGCTTGGGAAAGGAGTCGAGGAGAAACTGGAGACAGGAAACCTTCATTTAAATACTAGTTTTGCCAATTACTTTTTGTACAAGTAACTTCTTATAGTAAGAAATTACTGCTACAGAAAGAGAAAGAAATTACTGCTCCATTTGCTGAATGTGGTAGTGGTGTTGCACTTATAAATATTATAAAATAAAAAGTTCTTATCTCTAAGACATACAAACTGAAGAATTTAGGATGATATGATAGCTCTAGGTTTAACTTTAAATTATTCCCTCCCCGACCCCAACCTCCCCACCTCACAAAAAACATAGCGAAAAGATAGAGGAAATGAGACTGGAAAATGTTGATGATTCTGATTGATCACAGGGGAGTTCATGATCTAATTATGTCAATGCCCATATGTATGAAACTTTTCAAAACATGTAGTTTAAAATATATGAAATTTGACATTTCAGTTTCCTAAAGGGCTAGAAACTAACTTCTTTCTTTTGCAAACACACTGCTCACATGATTGAAAATGCTGCCTGCTCTCTAACAGCTATAGGATTACAAAAATATTTAAGTAATAAGACTTGAAAGTTGAAATCACTTTTTCCCCTTGAAATTACTTCTTGTTACATAGGCTGCAGAATGGATGCTGTGTTAGCAGGAGGGAAAGCGACATCTGCAAAGCCTAATAGAGCGCAGCACAAGACAGGCCTGTTGCCTCTTCTATGAACGGAAGGCTTGTGGCCGCCAGCGTGTGGCACTATTTTCCCAACAGCATCTGCTCCCTTCATGTCAGTATTTCATCGTTATGATCTGTGATCAGCTACTTCGTGCTGCTTTTGTCATTGCTTCAAGGCACCATGACGGCGGCAAAGGTTTGCCACAGGCGCCGTGGACAGGGCGCCCACCTGCTCTGGGCCACCAGCTGAGGGTGAACGGCGCTCACTGCCTGGCCTGACCCGGCCCAAGGTCCGAGCTCGCTCACCGCGGCGGGCGGGTTTCGGGAACCGGAGGCAGAGCCACTCTGCTCAGGCCGCGGGCGTCACTGCTGTTACTTTCTTGGCTAAAACTGTCAGGCCGTGATCAAATGTAACCATCATCTGAAAAGAAAAGAAAAAAGGAACCACTGACTGCTAACCGATTGAATCAGAATCCTTGGGGCTGGCTCCAGGCCTGTCTTCTCAAACGTGGGTTATTATTCTTTTAAAAAGCTCCCCGGGTCATTCTAACGTGCAGGCAGGGACGAGAAACACTGGACTAAACGGTCTCTGGGGGGACTGACCTCCGGGGCTGGCGGGAAGCCTACACCAATGAGATTTAAATTCAAAACCAAGGGCGTGGGAGGAAGGGACAGGCCCGCCCAGGGACGCCGGTTAGTCCGGACCGCGGCGGTCCCGGTTGCTGACCCCTCACCTGAGCCCCAAGAGCAGACAAGCCCTTGGCCCTTCTCCCGGGTCCGCGGGGGACTCGGCGCCTCCCGCCGTTGGGGAGAGGCTGGGGGCGGCCCTGTCCGCTCCACCCCTGGTTCCTCGGCCACTAGCAGTACTTCCTCCCGGACCCGGGGTCAGAGGTCGCAACCTGAACCCCGGGGAGCAGAGGGCATCTCAACTTCCGGAGGGAAAAAATAACGAAGGTGCGCGAGCTCGTCGCTAACTTCCGGTTTCCCCGGGCGCTTAGAGCCCCTGACAACAGGGTTCCGGGACCCACGCAGCCCCAGGAGGCTGGCTCGCATCGGGGCCTCCCGGTCGCCTCGGAAGTGTCCTCTCCTCGTTCGGGCAGCAGTGCGGCTCCGTGCCGGCAGGGAGAGTGGCGCGGGGGGTCCACGGCTGGACCCGGTCCCTGGGCTCCGGGGGCACAGCCACCCGAGCCAACGCAGACTGAGTAACCTGTGACCAGGAGAGAAAGTGGGTGCTCCAGTGGTGTAGTCGCTTAGTGCGCGGTGCTTGTAGGTCAGTGTCAATGATGCTGAGGTTGCGAGTTCGAGCCTCCCCTCGAGCAGCTACTATCCGTGGGCAAACTGCGGCCCGGTTTTTCTTTTTTTAAGATGAACTAAAAACAAAAAAAAGGTCGTACCCTTTTATGTAAATGATGTTTACTTTGAATTTATATTAGTTCACACAAACACTCCATCCATGCTTTTGTTCCGGCCCTCCGGTCCAGTTTAAGAACCCATTGTGGCCCTCGAGTCAAAAAGGTTGCCCACCCCTGATAGGCCCAGCGGAGCGCGCACCCCTTCCCCAGTGCTCTCCTGTCTCATAGAGTTTCGGAAGAATTGATATATTCTCTCTTTAGATGTTTAATTCTCAATTAGTAAGGCCACTGGGCTTGAGCTTTTCTTTTTTTGAAATATTAATTACGGACTCCATTTTAAAAAATGTCTGTCCAGATTTTCTATTTTTTTCTTGTGTTCATTGCCATAATTTACATCCTCTGGGAATTTTTAAAATATATTTTTATTATTCATAGTATTACAGATAGCTCCCATCCCTTTCCCCCTTGCCTCCCCTCCTCCCGGCACCTAGCTCTGGGAAATTTTTCATTTCATCAAAGTTGTCTAATTTGTTAGCATGACGTCCATACTATTTATCCCTTTATGATGTTTTCATTTTTTTTTTTTGAGATCAGTAGTGATGCTCTCTGTTTCCTTCGATTTCTCATCTCTCTTTTCCTGTTGAGTCTAACTAAAACTTTGTTCATCTTGCTGGTTTTTCAAAAGACCCATCTCTTCATTTCATTGGCTTTCTTTATTGTTTTTCTGTTTTCCATTTTATTGATTGTACTCCAATCTTTATTCTTTCCTTTCTTGTACTGGCATTGGGTTTAGTTTGCTTATCCTTTTCTAGTTCTTAAGATAGAAGCTTAGGTTACTCATTTGAGTTCTTTCTTCTCTAATGCAGGTATTTAAAGATATAAATACTGTGTGAGTACTGCTTTAATGAAATGCCATAATTTTGATGTATTATGGGTTCTTTTATTCAGTCCAAAATACTTTGACATTTCCCTTCTGATTTCTTTTATACTCATGGATTGTTGATTCTCTCAAATTTCCTTCTGTTACTGACTTTAATTTGATCTTATTATCATCAGAGAACATTCTTCCATCTTCGGGGAAGGAGTGAAGGCCTCGCACATGTTTCCATCGTGTCCCAGCTGATTTGTCCTTGCTTATGCCAGGGAAGGAAGCTGTCCCCAAGGCCCCACCTCCCGGACATTGCCCAGCGCCTCTCCATCTGGGAGTGACATGGTCCAGGGGATTAGTCCAAGGAGACGAGGTGGCTGAGTGGTTAAGGCGATGGACTGCTAATCCATTGTGCTCTGCACGCGTGGGTTCGAATCCCACCCTCGTCGACTGAGAGGTTTTTAGTGTGTTAATCTCCTAAAAATTACATTCAAAAGTCTCTTGGATGTATTCCTAAAAAATTTGCCCCTTGTTCTGACCTTTACCTGGGCAACACTAATCCTCAGTCACTATGATCTGAGTACTTTTCCCGTCCTTCCACAAGTGGTCAATCTTGCATTTCGGTAGAACAGATTTTTCGGAATATCCCTCAATTTTACCTGATGTAACATTGCTTGAAGGGGCTTTTATTTTCAACTAACTCATAATTAGAATGCTTATGTTTAGCATCCATTACATATCTCATCTTGGTTAGTGTAACAGTTTCCTGGTTTGCCCATCCGGTTCCAATTTTTATATCTATGATACATACATATCAATATTTCCAGAGTTGTCTTTAAAAGCACAAGTTTTTTCCAGTGAGTTCACTGCTTATCATTGTCAGTGGCTTTTCTCTGGGGGCCCCGGATCAGTCCCGGATGTGCTGAGGTTTCCCGAGGGGCCTAGGAGGAGCCAAGTAGGATTGGGTGCTGTCAGGAGACATGGGCGGTTTATGAATTAGGCACCCCCCAATAATGGTGGGGTACAGCAAAGTGGGTTGGGGCAGCCTTGGTAGGAAACAATAATCACTGGGGGAGAATAACCCTGTAGGTGACCTGGAGAGACACCCCGGGTAACTCTGCAGCCAGCGTTCTCGGTACAGTCTCCCAACAGGGGTGACAGCAGGACAGGTTTCATCTTCATCAGTCCAGGCCGCGTGCCACTCTTTTCAGGCCTGAATACGACTTTACTTTTTCCCCTACGGACTCTTTCACTGTATTTAAAATAAGGTGCTGGTAAGGAATTTGTGTTCTTACACGATGCTTCCTGTGCCGTGCCAGCGCGGCCAAGGGTGAACCCGAGGAGGGGCGGTGAAGGATTAAAGACAAAGAGAATACAGCTGGGGCTTTGAGGATCTCCCATGCCTGGATGAAGATGCAGAAAGATCCAGCCTGCAAGCCGAGGCTTTATTTTATAGTCAGAGCAAAACAAGGGTAGTGGTCAACATGGTTACAATGTTCTTATGAGTTTCACTGGTTTTGGCAGCACTTGTTGCACCTCCCACAGCCCATAGCTACCTAGGAAGGAACTAGGGAAGGCTATAAGGTCAGGCTTAATTATGCTAAGAGGGCTCTGCCCTCCAAGCTGAGACTTGTTTGTGGCCCTGCCACAGGTCAGTCTGAGGCTTGACCTATAGCCACTCCTGACAGCTTACTTTCTTGTTATTGTTTTGTATCATTTTCTAAAAATACCTTAATCAGAAATGACCTCTTTAAGACATTTGTATAGAACTATGGCTATGACCAAAATTTCTATGTGCCAAAAAGATAAATCCCAGCAATATGCCCTGAGTCTGTTCCTGACAGATACATTCCAAAAAGTGAGGAAGGGAACTCCAGGTGCCCTCAGGGTCTGCCTTCTGCACACGAGACAGTGGGGATGTAAAAAGCCACCCGGGGGTGAACTGCTCAAGCATCTCTGGGTCACACAGGCGGAGGCGGGTCCCCGTCCTCTTTCTGGCGGAGACACGCCTTTGGGAGATCAGAGCGAGCCAAGGTGCTCAGGCTGACGGTCCCTCTGTGAGTCAGAGAAGCAGGGCCTCGCGGGGCTTCGGCAGGAAAGGCTTATGGCGCAGGAGCGAGCGATGCCGGAAAGGCCGGGTGAACGCACCCTGGACTCGCTCTGCGCTCAGGTTCTTGTTACCCCTTCCGGCGGCTGCGGCCCCTTAAGCCTTCTCTGCACCTCCCGGGTCCGGGTTCGAGGCGCTCCTGGCTGTCATCGCCCTGCCAGGAGGGGACCCTCCGAAGAACCTCAGTGCCCGGAGGGCCCTCCCCCCTCCGATTACCGCTGTTCGCCTCAGACCTGTGCCTCGTTTTAATCAGGTTTTCCTTCTATTAACAGGAAGGGTGTGAGGGAGAAAATGAACTCGAGCTTCAGTATCAGCATTTCCCTTTTTTAAGTCCCTCTCCCTGCACCTCCCCAAAGCCGCAAAGCTCTGACCCGAAAGGAGACCGGCTTCTGAATCAGTCGCTTTCCTTCCCGGCGCAAGGCCTCGCTGTGCGGGAGAGAACACGCGGCCGGCCCTGAGGGTGTAGCTTTCCCCTCATCAGGCTCCGGGAAGAAAAGTGACTCCCCTGCACCCGCCGGGTTCTCAGCCGAGGCCCTGCAATAAGGGAGCCACCGGAGAAAACTAGCAGGTGTGTATGGTCCTGTGGCCCTGGGCACATAGGAGAGACCCGGGAAAGGACTCCACTCCTGCGGTACCGAAGAATGGCGGTGTAAACGCGACTTGAACAGGGCAAGGGCTCCCCTCCAACCAAAATCTCGAGAGGAAGTCTCACTCCTGAACAGGGCACAACGCAAAGGGAAGGAAAGGCGAGCAGCAGGTGGGACCACCCGCAGGTGCGGGGGGTGCGGGGGGTGCGGGGCAGGGACCCTCCGGGCAGCTGGATGGCCAGACCGATGCGAGGGCGCGCGCTCCCGGGCGATTCAAACCCCGGCGCAGCCTCGGCCCAGGCGGGAGTCCGGCTTTATCCCTGGTCCGGGGCCGGCCGTGCTTAAGTTTGCTTAGAGCTTAACACTTTCCTCCCCGTCGCTCCTGAACCCTGAGAAATGGTGGGGAGCCCTATTAAATGTGGGAAATTACGAAATGCTACGGACTCCCAGGCCCTTGAGAGCCAAGCAGGTGTTTTTGTCGTTGGTGACCCACAGGTTCTCCAAAGGTTGTTGCCCGACTTCGCACCAGCTCCTTCTCGGAGAACATGGGTGGCTCTGAAAAGAGCCTTTGGGGTCAGGAGTCAGGCCGCTCGCTCCCGCCTACTTGGAGCTGGTGTACTTGGTGACGGCCTTGGTGCCCTCGGACACGGCGTGCTTGGCCAGCTCGCCGGGCAGCAGCAGGCGCACGGCCGTCTGGATCTCGCGGGACGTGATGGTCGAGCGCTTGTTGTAATGCGCCAGGCGCGACGCCTCGCCCGCGATGCGCTCGAAGATGTCGTTGACGAACGAGTTCATGATGCCCATGGACTTGGACGAGATGCCGGTGTCGGGGTGCACCTGCTTGAGCACCTTGTACACGTAGATGGAGTAGCTCTCCTTGCGGCTGCGCTTGCGCTTCTTGCCGTCCTTCTTCTGCGCCTTGGTCACCGCCTTCTTGGAGCCCTTCTTCGGGGCGGGCGCCGCCTGGGCGGGCTCGGGCATGGTCGGGAGGAACCGCCGAAGAAGCCGGGAAACAACTGGAAGAGCGACTGCGAGGCTGCCAGTGTCCTCCGGTTCAGGCTCCTTCCAGGCGGCGGTGAGTAGAGGCGTGTCCGACTGGTGGCGAGTCCCGGAAACGTCACCGGGATGTTGTCCACTGACAACGAGTGTGTTTCAGAACCAGGATCCCATTGGTTGAAGAGAAAGGGCTGTAACTTGCCGCCAATGGCACAGACTCACGTTCGCGCCCCGGCGCGACTATAAAGAGGGCAGCTGCGGGCGCCTCAGCTCAGATCAAGGCCTGAGCGGAGGTTTCGTGTTCGTCATGTCTGGACGCGGCAAGCAGGGCGGCAAGGCGCGCGCCAAGGCCAAGACGCGGTCCTCGCGGGCCGGGCTGCAGTTCCCCGTGGGCCGCGTGCACCGGCTGCTCCGCAAGGGCAACTACGCCGAGCGCGTCGGGGCGGGCGCGCCCGTGTACCTGGCGGCCGTGCTGGAGTACCTGACGGCCGAGATCCTGGAGCTGGCGGGCAACGCGGCCCGCGACAACAAGAAGACGCGCATCATCCCGCGCCACCTGCAGCTGGCCATCCGCAACGACGAGGAGCTCAACAAGCTGCTGGGCAAGGTGACCATCGCGCAGGGCGGCGTGCTGCCCAACATCCAGGCCGTGCTGCTGCCCAAGAAGACCGAGAGCCACCACAAGGCCAAGGGCAAGTGAGGAACACGTCGCAACATCCAAACCAAAGGCTCTTTTCAGAGCCACCCACGCGTTCACTAAAGAGCTTGCAGTTGCTGTGTTGGAGCAGCTACTTGAGAATCCCCTTGACTGAAAATCACTGGAGGTGCCAGTATGTTAACTCCCCAGAAACAAAACACTAACTGTACATTCAAAACAAATGTAAAATGAACACAATGGTTTGCATCAGGTAATTAAGCAATTGGTGCAACATGCCCTGGGGCTCAAGTGCCTCTGGACGGAAAGCGAAGTGCCCTGCAGGCTAAGCCATTCTTTTCTGGTAAAGAGCTTAGCACTTGTATTAGAAAGTGAGTCATCGGCGCAACCGAGTCACAGTTCCCCATTGAAAGCAAAACATTGTCAGAAACCGCATGAAGGAATGTGTACCCATCCACATGTATTCGTAAATTTTAAAAAAACACCTTACTTTCCACCCCAATACAGATTCTTACAATAAAGATGTTGGCAACAATGTATAACAATGAGAGACACTCAAGTGACCCCCCAGAAGTGTTGTGTTTTTGTTTTTAAGCTAACGTTTGGGTTGTGAATAGGACTATGAAGAAAACTAAGTCAGGTCCTGTGGCTGAGTGGCAGGAGAGCTGGGGGTGTCTGCTTTTATGTCACTTAGTTATTTCCTGGGCTGCCTGTGACATTTACTACTCGGTGGCATTACAGAGAAATAGACGCCCTCAGTTCCGGGGCCAGAGGTCTGAAATCACGCTGCTGCCAGGCCTGGTTCATCCCAGGGCCTTTGAGGGCGGCACCTCCAGGGGACTCTTCCAGATGCTGGAACATAAATACCCCAGAAATGAGCTTGCGCCTTTGATGGCCAGCAGTTCTCGGGGTTTTTGACTTAACACATCCCTCCAGCCTCGCCCTCCCTCACAGCCTCCTCGCCTGAGTGTCTGTCCTCTCCTCTTGCAGGATCACAGCGATCGTTAGACCCAGAGCCCACTCTAAACCCAAGACGCTTTCACCTGAGATTCTTAATCATCACATGTGCAGGGGCCCTGTTTCTAAACAAGGAGGTGTTGCGAGGGTCCAGGCAGGCAGGGACCGGATGGGGAGCACTCTTCAACCCACTCCCATGACTCTGGAAGCGTTCTGACTAGATTGTATTTGAGCAGAGATCTATTTAAAGCAGGGCAGTAAATTATGTTGCTCTTTTGGGTGATGTTCCAAGCAGAGAAGGTACTCCCAAAACCTGAGGCCATCACGTACGTGGAATGTTTAACAAGATCCGGAGGTCAGGGTGCAGGTGTCAGAAGTGAATTCGGAGACAGGTCGGTCATGGAGAGCTGTAGGAGCGTGCAGGCCATGCTGCGTTTGGCAAATGATTCCCAATGTCCATGCTGTGAGTTTTGAAGAGAGGAATGGCATACCCCGACTTACGTTTCTTTGAAAGTCATTAAGACAGCTGTCTGGTGAGTACAAACGTTAGGATAGAAATCTGCCTGTGAGAGATGACCCTGGCTTGATCCCATTGGAAGCAGCAGACCAATAGTTAGGGATTTTGCAACTGTAGCTAATCAGGTGTTGCCGGATTTGATGTGTACTGTGGGAGAGGAGACAATACATTCCTCTGAACCATTCTGAGTGTTTGGGTGAGGTCCCTGTAATAAAGACGAATTAACCAGAGAGAAACAACCAGGATTTTATCCATTTTACCAATGTTTATGGGACAGATACTCGGGAAAACTGAGTAAACTCCCCAAAAGGCCCTAAGCCACCATCACATTTACCATCTTCAGTTAAAGGCCAAAGACAGGAGAAGGGAGGGGAAGGCTGAGGGGGGCAATTGGGAGAGATTACCTGGAGGAGGGCAGGTTTTGTGATGCAGATTAAGTACCAGTTTTCCCGGGGATGAGATGTGTCGTTCCAGGCACAGGGAGGGGGGTGGCTGGTGAGATTTCCTTTGTAAAAGTAAAGTCCTTATAAAATGGAACTTCTGCTTCCTTCCGAGATTCTCTCTTGTCTGCTGGTTCTCAGAAATAATCAGGTCAAATTAATCCTCATGCGAAAGAGGCCCAATTGGCCGGGGGGGGGGGGGGGGCGTATTCTCCCTTTCAACTGAGAAAGACTGTAAAGATAGGAGAACAAGACCTGGATTTTAGCCAAGTTTACCTTCCTATATGAAGGCTGTTAGTATGTTAGAAAACAGCCCGAGTTGCATTACATTTTTATAAAATGAGACATGTATGGAAGAATAAACACCTTTGGCTATTAATTTCCAGAACTACAAAGCCTTACAAACTTACAGCCATCCATTGCTAACCTTATCACTAGTTTCTATTAAATAAAACAACTCATGAAATTATCGAGGGAAGGAGACTACTGGTTGGTGGGAAATTTATTCATTTTTAAAGTAAAGAAGGGCCTTTGCCGGTTTGGTTCAGTGGATAGATTGAAGGAACCCGGGTTCGATTCTGACCAAGGGCACAAACCCCAGTAGGGGGCATGCAGGAGGCAGCCAGTCAATGACTCCCTCTCATCACGGATGTTTCTATCTCTCTCCCTTCCTCTCTGAAATCAATTTTTAAAAATGTTTTAAGTAAAGAAGGGTCTATAAAATGTATCTCAGTAATTAAGGTTGGACATAGTAAAAGAAATATACTTTCCCCCTTCGTTCAAACTATCTACATATTCACTAATGAATTAGTTGCTCTTGTAATTAGTAAAAGTGTTAGGGGCAGACAGAGTATTGGGGACCAGCTACAATTGTAAGAACTATTAATCCTGCTCTGCTCACCATGATGGTCGTGTTCTAATTAGAGAAAGCGCCTTCTCACCTGGCAGGGAGTGTACGCCTGGCACATGGCAGCTAATGGGCATGCGGGCCATCCTCCTGTCCCGAGAGCTGCCTCTCATTATGGAAAGATTGGCGACCTCGTGGCTGAGACCATCTAGTCCCGGAGGCACCTGCTCTTTACACCCCCATCCTATTGCCTGTAACTGGTCCCGGGCGCCCAGAGGTGCCTGCCCTCGGGGAACACCCTCTCCCCCCTGCCCAGCCCGCATGACTTGTAACCTGTAATGAGTGACCAGTGCCCACTTTCCCATCCCTGCAATTCCTACTTTCCCACGTAACCTTTGTCCTTCTGCCCAATATAAGCAGCCAGCTTACGGGTGAGGCAGAGCAGATTTCTGTGGGAGACCTGCTGCTCTCCCACGCTTCTGACATTATTGGAATAAACATTCATGTGATTCAACCCTGTCTCTGCTGAATTGGCTGAAGTACTGACAGCCAGGCCCGGCTCCTTGGTTGTCTGTTTACAAAAGTTTTTTTTTAATTAAAATAAATATATATATAACCTGCATTTATCAGATCAAAACCAACCTGGTAAGTCTCCCCTCGGCCCCGGCCAGGGGGCAGGCGCAATATATATATATATATTTTAGAAAACTCTACTGAGGTACATATGTGGATTGGTAGTAGTATTTTTCAGGTAAGGAGGACACAGCATTTCAAAGATAAATTTACCCTACAAATGCATAGCTTTAGCACCGTTTTGATCAGACTACTTAGAGAATTTCTTTGTTGCAAGCAGACAAAATCATTTGTAATTTTAAGTAAAAGGAGTGGAGATAACAGAAATTAATTTGAAAAATAACTGGGGTGGGAATTCACTGCCAAATACTAAAATATTTTTCAACAGGAGAAACAACTGTAATACTCCATCATTACAATAAAAACTGAAGAATTAATTTTAAGTGAATATTCAATAGATGATAAGTTCAGTTCCTCAAATCAGTGGGGACATATTTGATGAGTTGTACTGACTGACCAGCTGGTTGTTTTTTCAAAGTTTAATCTCTATACCTGGATCGTTGGAATTCTTTAAGTGATTCTACCCATTAGTAGTAAGAGATCATAGGCTCTGCTGTTGAAAATGAAAATTGGTACCTTTGGTGGAAGAGAGTTAAACAATCTGCCAGACCCTAGAATCCTCTACTGTGTTACCATCATGTTCTGTGGGGTGCTCCTCTCCTGGAAATTAGGAGAGAAACGTTCCAAAATGGCCTAGCCCTGTGCAAACCTAGAGAAAGGAAACGCACGCGTATCTGCAGAAATACGTTCCCACCGCGCTCCAGTGCATCTTCTACAACAGCGATGTGACCGTCGCTTGCACGTACCATGAGGGGAACAGGTTAGAAGTCGCTGCTCTACAAGGTTAAGGTTTTGTTGTTTAATTTGGATGGAGCAGAAGGCCCGAGGGATGAGAAAGCAAGGAGAAAGGCTGGCCGCAGTATGGCGTTCAAAAGAATTGCCTGAGGGCGGGGCGGAGGGCGGGGGGAGGGTAGAGCCGCGAGGCCCCGCCCAGCTCTCGGGTTTCACTCCGGTCCGCACGCGGCCCTATAAGAGGGCGCTGCTGACGCCGCGAGCGCATTGCTGGTTTCCGATCCTCTGACCATGTCTGGTCGCGGCAAAGGCGGGAAGGGCCTGGGCAAGGGCGGCGCCAAGCGCCACCGCAAGGTGCTGCGCGACAACATCCAGGGCATCACCAAGCCCGCCATCCGGCGCCTGGCGCGGCGCGGCGGCGTCAAGCGCATCTCCGGGCTCATCTACGAGGAGACGCGCGGGGTGCTCAAGGTCTTCCTGGAGAACGTGATCCGCGACGCCGTCACCTACACGGAGCACGCCAAGCGCAAGACGGTCACGGCCATGGACGTGGTCTACGCGCTCAAGCGCCAGGGCCGCACCCTCTACGGCTTCGGCGGCTGAGCCCGTCCCCCCCCCCCGTTCCCCCCAAAGGCCCTTTTCAGGGCCGCCCACCCCCTCTCGGAAGAGCTGCGCGCTGCCCGCTTTACGGGCAAATGAGGCAGGAATGACAGGTTCACCCTCGGGGTCCCCGCGGTTCCAGCGCCGGGACCTGGAGGTTTGTGGTGGAAATTCCTACCCAGGGGGCCCAGCCACAGGCTCCGCCAAAAAACCCATGAGTCCTGTGCTGGGCTGCATATCTGATGCTTTGGCCAGACGGGTCATGCTGTGCTGTCTGTTCCTAAAACACATAGATGGGAAGGGACTGACATCAGGCCAGGCCTTGAGATGTGATATGGCCCCTTCCCAGCATGCAGGCCTTCTTTCTCAGAAGGCCCGGAAGTCTCATTCCAAATTTGGGAGACAAAGGACTGGAAAAAGTATAAATAGTTTCCTCCATATTGGGGGCCCAGAATTTGAAAGACACATTTTCTCTGGGCCTCCACAAGATTTAATAGTAAAATGTAACTCCTGTAGTCTGCGCTGCAGTTCAGCCTCTGCTCCGGCGGGTGCTGTAACTGATCAGCTGGCCAGCTTAATAAAGGCTCTTAAATTTAAATTCCGAGTCGGTGGTCTGTCTCGCTGAAGTGAACCCATAACAGTCCCACCTGGCGGGGTGTCGGGGGATGTTCAGAGATTCCAGCTGCCGCCCAGGGAGACTCGGGTACGTTGACACGGGACTTGTCCCCGGGGTGCTGGCTGTCACTCCACCTGGTCTCGGGCGTCACCGGAAGGTGGGCAGGTGGAGCCCGTCCGTCTCCCGGCCTCTTGAGCGTCCACGTGGAGCTGCCTCGGGGATGTGCAGTCTCGGGTCAGCCCCTCCTGCCCCCAGGCTGAGCAGTGGCGTCGCTGTCAGCTCGGGGCCGGGGTTCTAACTGAGTCTTCACTTCCTGTACCTCGGCCTCAGTTTGCATTTGAAGGAGGAGTCGCCTCGCCCTTCATCTTCCTCCATCTTCCTCTTAACCACCTGCTGTGCATCATGGGACGGGTTTCTCTGCCTTTTTGGTTTGTAACGGGCCATTTAAACACCACAACATGGTTACAAAAAGCTTTTGGAACATGTCTTCGGATTGAACTCACACACTCGCTTTGTGTAGCAAAACCGAGGAGCCGTGGGCGGGACAGGACCTGAGGGTGGGGCCTCGGAGTCTCCTCGGGCCTCTCTTCCCTCCCCCACCCCCACCCTCCTCCACCCCACCCTCCCTCTCCGCCCCACCCCCACCCCCCCTCCCACCCACCCCCGGGGGTTTTGGCTTCGGGTTGGAACTGCCTGGGGCCGGATTAACCCCGTCAGGCCGGGGCCTAGGCGGCCCTGCCCATCGCTAATCTTCCTTAAATGTATTAATGCCTCGCCTTGGGGTCTGAACAGGAATGCGTTGCTGGTTTCCCGGTGTTTTGTTTCACAGGGGGATGCCCAGAGCTCTACGGTGGGTCTTGGAAAACCTGCGTCTTTCTCTTTCTCAACATTTAACTTAAAGATAAAAGGGCCTTTCAAAGTGAGAGGCAGCAAACATTTACTTGAGACCATAAGGCAGGAGCCCAGAGTCCCGATGAGGAGACAAACACTAGGAATTGAGGGGCAGGGAGGGGAGCAGTGACACCCACCGCAGGAAGGCGTCCTATCGCCACGGAAACGTTCACAGTGACGCGAGGTCTAAACATGCTTTTCTTCAGTCTGTCACCCATCGGCTCAGTACTTAACAATGTTTGTTCTTTTCCTTTCTAACAGCTCTTCGGGATACAATGTTGCCCTAGGTTAGGTCTAAATGTAATTTTGCCGTTTTAACCCTTCAAGGTTTGAAGTCTAAGTAGCTCCACCTCCATTTTATTTTGGGTGTTTTTGTTTTTTTGAGGGCACATTTGTTCAGCTGGGGCCAGTGAAAGCACAGCTGTGGCTCTGAAACTATTACAGGAAAGAAATGAGCCACTGGGGCGGGCTTCAGCTCCCGGAAAGTCAGCGGACGGGGCCAGGAAGACAGATCAGGGGTTCGCCTGGATGAGCCCTGCTGCCCATAGCTCCCCTGTTGCACGTCTGTGGGGACCCTCCGTCTTACTTTAAAGCAGGTCCCTTTCTATTTGTTCACAAACCACACATTTGGGGCAGCCTTTACTCTTGATAAAATAACCACTTTCCCTACATTTGCCTCCATTACTATTACAAATACTAGAATATGTATCAGGCAAAGAAGTCAGTGAGACACCACATAGTTCGATGTTACCGCCAAAACTAACCCAAAAGTAAACACTTGTGTCTCAACAAGAGTCCCAAGCTCTCCCTGCCTTGGAATTCACCGGGGTCCTTACTATGGTGTTCGTCCGCTGCCAGGCTGTTTTCTAACTTTAGATGCACATACCCCGAAGCAGTACGTAGCGCTGTTTCCCGTCCGGAAACCTTCAAGTACTTAGTGCTTGTACTTAGTAAACATCTGTGTACTTCCCCCCAGACTTGAAGAATGTGTTTGCAGCTCTAACACTGACAACTGAGTGGCTCTGAAAAGAGCCTTTGGGGTCAGGAGTCGGGCCGCTCGCTCGCGCCTACTTGGAGCTGGTGTACTTGGTGACGGCCTTGGTGCCTTCGGACACGGCGTGCTTGGCCAGCTCGCCGGGCAGCAGCAGGCGCACGGCCGTCTGGATCTCGCGGGACGTGATGGTCGAGCGCTTGTTGTAATGCGCCAGGCGCGACGCCTCGCCCGCGATGCGCTCGAAGATGTCGTTGACGAACGAGTTCATGATGCCCATGGCCTTGGACGAGATGCCGGTGTCGGGGTGCACCTGCTTGAGCACCTTGTACACGTACACCGAGTAGCTCTCCTTGCGGCTGCGCTTGCGCTTCTTGCCGTCCTTCTTCTGCGCCTTGGTCACCGCCTTCTTGGAGCCCTTCTTCGGGGCGGGCGCGGACTTGGCGGGCTCGGGCATGGTCGGGAGCTCAGCGGAGGTGGTCGATTAGAGAAAAAGAATGAGCACGCTGCGTCCTATTTATATAGAACCTCGCATGCAAATAAGGTGATAAACCAGAGCCCTGTGTGTGTGTTGGCTCCTAAGAGCAAGCTCAAAACTTAGCTCTGCCCAATCAGAGCGCCAGAATCCCAAACTCGCACGCTCACTGGTTTAGGTGAAGCTGAAACCTGAACCAATGACACAGCTGCCTCTTCGCGCCACAAACGTTTATAAAAAGTGCCGCCCGCGCACTTTCACTTTTGCAGCCACTTGCAGTGAAGTTTGCAGCCAGAATGTCCGGCCGCGGGAAGCAGGGCGGCAAGGCGCGCGCCAAGGCCAAGACGCGGTCCTCGCGGGCCGGGCTGCAGTTCCCCGTGGGCCGCGTGCACCGGCTGCTCCGCAAGGGCAACTACGCCGAGCGCGTCGGGGCGGGCGCGCCCGTGTACCTGGCGGCCGTGCTGGAGTACCTGACGGCCGAGATCCTGGAGCTGGCGGGCAACGCGGCCCGCGACAACAAGAAGACGCGCATCATCCCGCGCCACCTGCAGCTGGCCATCCGCAACGACGAGGAGCTCAACAAGCTGCTGGGCAAGGTGACCATCGCGCAGGGCGGCGTGCTGCCCAACATCCAGGCCGTGCTGCTGCCCAAGAAGACCGAGAGCCACCACAAGGCCAAGTAAGGAGAAAGCAGGTTAGGAACCTGGACAACAAAGGCTCTTTTCAGAGCCACTTACACTTTCAGAAAAAGCTGGAACGGGTAACTTGTCCTATTCTCCCGGCAGGAGTTTCCATTTTAGCATTTAACTCCAATGGAAGTTAAAGTTTGATTTGTTGATTTAAAACATGCGGGCGTTCCTGAAACCCACGTGGGTAAATTCCTGGCCCTGTTTCTTTGGGACAGCTGTGTTCATGCCCTGAATTCCAGCAGGTGAGGGTACAGCGAGGAATGCAACTTTGGGAATTGCCTGCCTGCGAACCCAGGTGGGGGAAAACAAATAGGCCTAATGCCGCTATTTAGATAGGGAAAAAGTGGAGGTAAACGCTTTAGGTAAAGGCGCTACATGACCAGAGCCCTACCTAAACTGAGGAAAGGAATGAGCCCAGCAGATGTTAGGGGAAGAGGACTCCAAAGAGGTGAAAATGCAAAGGCCTTAACAGGAAATGTGTTTGGCCCTTGGGAACAGTCCGTGAGGCTATGAAGTCAAAGGTGGGCGTGGGGGTGAAATGGGACCATAAATATAGGATTTTGTGGGGTGTGTAAATTATGCCCAAGTATTTAGCTCGGTCGGTGTGGCTCCGTGGTAGAGCATTGACCTATGAACCAGGAGGTCACAGTTCTATTCCTGGTCAGGGCACATGCCCGGGTTGTGTCCCCCGTGTGGGGCGTGCAGGAGGCAGCCAATCCATGATTCTCATCATCGATGCTTCTATCTCTCCCTTCCTCTCTGAAACCAATAAATATTGAATAAAGTAAAAATTAACATTAATCCTGATCTCTGACATAATAAATTTGATAATACAAATTAGCTATGGAATGCAACCCACTTTTAAAAAAAAACACATCAGAGAAATAGTATTAATGTTAGCATGTGGTTTACAGACTGAAAGATTTGAGAGGAAATGGTTTGTAATTCAATACATAGATCCATTTGTTGCTTGTCTTTGCAGAAAGCCTGTGAGTAAAACGATAACATACAACAGACCCCTCCACACACAGAAACACGGTGATGCAATGAGGCAAGTTGGGTTGTGTGGAAGCAGGTGCTGAGATGGAGTTTGAAGTGGAAAATGATTATCAGGTCCCCAAATCTGTGAAGGGAGGAGTGTCAGACTGACACCGGCCAGATAAACATGGGGAGCTCTGGAGCCAGTATTGTCTGTTAAGAGGTGCCCCCACATTAGCGCTGTCCCTGGACCAGCCCTTACCTCCCCACATCCCCCGTCACTGGATGTGGGAAGGACAGGGAAGGAGCTGTCTGCACTTGGCCGGTGAGTCTTTCCTTCAGGGGGAAGTCTGGGCACTGCATTCGAATCCCTGAAACAGGTACATTAACATGAGTAGAAAGACCAACATGGTGCCCTAGCTGGTTTGGTTCAGTGG